CACGTTGACACTTGTAGTGGGCTTACATCCGTATAAAGTAAAGTGACTTAGGGCAAGTCGCAGATTCACTGAGGTTAGGTTTTGCAGTGACGTAGTATGTTAAGAAGCGCAGAGAACCAGAATAAATTACTCATATTAAACAATTTTAATGCTTCGTCCACTCACTGAATGCACAATGCTATTGCCAGATGAGGAAGATTGGCTCATGTCTTGTAACCAGTGTGGCATTAAAGCATAGTGGAATTGTCAAGCTAGCTAACTAACTTGTGGACAGCTGGCTAGTTAGCCAGCTTGCTAATTCCACCATGCTTTAATGCTACACTTTGTCACAGAATATATGCCAGACAGCAGGCTGGTGCCAAGTGCTGGGTCAAACCGTCGCTCCGCCTCACCCCCCCCTGCTCTGGAGAAGGACGAGCTACCTAGCTAACTGGCCTGCCGTCTCCGGAGCTGCGTTCGATCTCATACTGCTTTTGGCGAAGGCAAGACCAGCCCGTTGTGACAGCACAATAACCACAGAAAAAACAGTTCAATGTCCATTCTATTCCTGTTCTATTTCTGTGGTTGTAATTTTAAATAGCTCCATGCAGTCTCACTCCTTTAAATAACTAGTCCGCGGGTTGTGGCCTTCCTACAACTAAACGCACAACCTTGATCTGACTCATGCACATGTCATTCCTTTCAGATGGCACAGAGTTCCTCCAGGATACTTTATTGAACCACTCAGCCTCTTTGAGGACGACTTGGGAACCCGCCAGCATTAGACGGCACATTGTCCGGCTACAGGAGGCATGAAATCCAGGAAGGGGGTTTCATGGCTAAGTTGGGCTAAGCAGAGGAGAGCAGGGCGTGTTAGAGTAATTTCATGGAGCGTTTGACCAAGGGAAGTTGAACAGAATCCTGTCGGAGTCAATGCTTGTCGGATTCGGTGGGTCCTGGAAGTTGGTTTTTCCCCGTCTGTGCTGGTGATGCAACGTGCTCGATGGAGATCTGTGGTTTCCGATTTAGGGAGTTTATTAGTATAATGCTGCTCAATAAAGAAATGTTGCTTTTGGGCCTAGTTTAGTTTTCCTGTGTTGAGGATAGTGCTGGGTTGTGTTTATTTTTCAGGCGGCTTGACCACCCTGAGAACTTTTCTTTTTCTGCTGTCTTTGTATTATTGAGTCTTTGCTTTTAGTTTCTCTTCAAAAACCATTTCCTGTCCGTCTTTCCCTCTCACCTTAGCTTTATGCTGCCATTACCCCAAATGTCCCACTACGTCTAAGCAGACTGATGATCCAGCCCGAATGTCCAGAAGAAAATAAAAGTTATACCTCCTCCAGTGAAGTGCCCAAGCATAGATAAAGCTTTGATAATAGCTTCCCTTTCTCTGGAGACATACATCTCTACTGTACACCAGGCGAGGCAAGGCAACTAAAAGAGCTTAGTTCCATATTGCAAAACAGATACATGTTAAATAAAAACACCAAATGACTGCCACACTAACCCTTTTTAAAATATTCAACAGTTCCAGGAAACTTAGGAGGTTAATTCTAGGAAGCAAAAGTACAAAAGTAAGAACTAGGGAATGCGCTACTTGCAGTAGGAGTTGATAAATGTTTGTTTTGGACACATACTGATAAAGAGTGCAATGACATAAGGATCTCCTCTCACTGCAATAACACATTCCTCACATTCTATACAGATAATTCTCTTTTAGCAAAGCCACTGCGAATGGCTGCTTTTGCAGAGGTCTTAAAAACTGCATTCATTAATAAACATGGGCAAACGTTCAATTCAATCCGTGCTATATGTCAACATGCGTTCACAAGGTTGTTGAGTCTGCGTTGTATTTAAGAGGGTCAAAACATTTATGATACCATAGTAAGAAAAGCAAACTCTTTCCAGATGTCCAACAAGTGTAAAGGAGGTTAAATCTGGAGAACTTCCTCTGTTAGTTTTGTCTCCCATCTTGATTTACGGTCTCCTGTCTTCCCCAGCTTTTGCAACTTCTCCAGCTTCGTCTCCAAATTCCAGAAGGATGGTGTCATCTGTGCGCTCTCCATCCTGTGCATGAACGTCGAAGATAAAAAAAAAAGAAAAGAAAGTGAGCAGAAACAGGTGTCACCTCTTCACAGGCCCTTATCCGACCTCCAAGTAAGCTCAATAGCTTAACCGCCCCTCTTGTGCGAGGCGAGCGTGACATTACACAAAATAACAGGCTGCGTTAATGGCGACACGGTGCACGGATGGCAGCGGTGGCTGTAAAATAAAAGGTTTAGCAGACTCTTGTTGTGGCTCTCTGTTGACAGAAAAAGGGCTGCGGTTGAAATGATGCGTGGCATTGCTCCGGGGGTGATGTGGAGCGCATTAAACTGTTGCAGAGTTGCTAAAGGAGAATGAGAAATCATACAGAAGGTAACGTTTACTGGCCTCAAGAGCAGGATGTCGCTGGTCCTGTTGTACGTGCGTCACTGTGTTGTTAGCAGGTCGTCAAGGTGCAACTGTGAGATCTGGTCCAGGGCGCTTTACAGAAAGGTTCATTTTCAAAGCTACGTGTGGAATCTGGACTGTGCCACTGAAGTACAGTTTTTTTTTTGTTGTATAATTGAAATCAAATAATTAACTGAGTTTAAAAAGCAATTGTGAATTGATTAATTATATTTGCATTTAGATTATGCAGCTAAATGATCATTACATTCTGATTGGCCCGACCAACGTACCAGCTGGTCAATCAGCGCTACTGCTGCTGAGGCTCTTTGAGTTAGAATTCATTTATTTTTAGAAGGCACATCTTTAAATTGAGGCAAAATAGAAACTACAAAAACTAATTCAAAACTAATTAATTCTGAGTTCAAATTAGATAGGTACATGTATAAGTGTGCATGAGAGGCATGTACAAATTTGTTTTGCAATTACATATCAAAATGCAATTATAAATTTATCTTTTAAAGGCTGACAAAGAAATTCTAATTATTAACCAGAATTCTCTTAATGTGTGTTCATTGATTATAATTTGACACTGGTAAAGTGACACACTTTTGACTCCATACCAGCAGGTTTCAAGGATATTTCTGCTTATATTTAATGTGTTCAAGATTTATTTCGCCCACATTAATGTGGACTATTTATAGTTTTTCTCAGACATTATAAAAACCTGGCCAAGCGTCACGAGCATGATGCTGAGATGAAAGCTTTTATGCCGAAAACACATCAGCCTGATGTTTAGCGTTAATAAAGACTTGCTTTGATTGAGGTTCATTTATGCACCGGAGAGCTGCCATTCTTATCTATCGCCGATGTTACTGGACGTCAGTGTGAAGCTCTTTGCAGAGAGCTGAACCAGGCGATTGTAACACGAGCAGGATCACCTGCTAGAGGGTTTTTATTGGCGAGAGATCAGAGTCGTCCGCAAGCTGATGGAAAGAGTGTGGTTGTGATGCTGGAGCCAAGAGAAACAACTCCTTCATTAGAGAAACCTCTGCATGCAGACTTTGGACATCTCGCCAAACACATGGTACGCTCTGATTATTTCATGCATCATTACAATGAAAAGATCATTGATAACAATAGCAATGTAATGTAATACATCTTTTAATACATTATATTAACTCACAACAATACGGCCCTGCTCGTGGCTCTGGGAGGCTTCACTTTGAGCTAAAGAGTCTGCATTCCAACAAGCTCAAGATGAAAATGCTAATGATTAGCAGGTCTAATGTTTACCACGTTCACCATCTTAGCTTTGCCTGTTAGCATGCTAACATTTGCTGATGGGAATCACAATGTTATGTTACATTTTATGCTTAAAACAACAATGCATTGGACAAATTAAAATATCGACATACAAATGGAGCCAGATTAAAAATCAGGGGATCACCAAAGCCTTTTCGATACATCCTTTGTGGACCATGTCTGTCTGTGTGTTGGTGTATTGAAGACTTGCATATACGTATGCTCAAACAAAGAGGCCTAAAACTTCATATAGGCTACCATGCAACTGCCCTTAAAATAAGCATAGCACATGACAAAGATATATGCTAAGAGAGGAAGCCCAGGCACACCTGCTTGTTGAATATATTCACATAAATTGTCTGTCTCACATGAACTGCACGAAACCAAGGAGGCCCTGTGCATGTTCCAGACTTCAGCGGTATTTGAATACGAATATAAAGAGGACTGAGACGGACCAAACGGCATCCTGTGTTCTTGTAAATCCACGCCTGGGAGAGCCAAACGTCCTCGTAAACATCTGTGCGCGTGTTTCCTCAGTGCACCTTAAAGGAAATGTTGTGAAGGTTGAATAGGACCAAGGCATGACGACACAATCTTCTGCATGTACAACTCCCTCTGCATATCTCACACACACACACACACACACAGCACACACACACACACACACACACACACACACACACACAATGAAGTCAATCAAGAGAACAGACTGTCGTGAAGGATAAAAGCACCGGATGAGGCAGAGGGGTTTCTCTGTTTCCACCTCTTTTCCCTCTGTTCTCATTTTTTGGTTTCTTCCAACACGTACAGCCGGCTGGCTTAAGCAGCATTAATGGTATTTGGTTAGGACGTCACCTTTGACCTTCAGAACAAAAACAGTAGCAGGGAGCTGCTCAACAGATCCCCTGTGAGGGACAATGGGAATGTGGTTGGACCTAATAACAGGAAACTCAGTGCCGTTCAGGGAGATTACCGCAGTGTGTTCGACAGATCGGTCACACACGGCCACACGGTTGTTGCAGAGAAGCCAAATGTTGGTCTTCAGTCACGTTTGTACATCAGCTGCTGTGTGATTCTCCCACAGGAACCAATGATGTTTCACTCCGTATATAATCTCCTTTGTCACCGTCAACTTCTCGCCTGTCGGTCTCAGAAGAAGACATCAGCAGCCAGACCTGACAGATTTGACATTTGACGGCAGGCCGAGTCCCTCCTGCTTCATTAAAGACTTGTGTGTGATCCCCGGTTCAAAGCCGGGCCGAGCAAAGAAAAGGTAGAAACAGGCAGAGGTTGTAAACAGGATGCGGAACAGCCGTCTGTTTTATTCTAAATTTGATATGTACAGGAAAAGTGGCTGTATACATTTCTTAATATATCATGTAAAAGTTTTCTGGAAAAAAAACAAAAGCAATTGCACATCAGCTTCCTTATTATACTTTAAAACACATCATGGTACAGCATGGTTGAAGGCAATGTCAAACGGGATACAAATACACTGACAACCGCTCGTAAAGTGTTGGCTCTTGTAAATAAAATACAAAAAATAAAGAAAAAAGGTTCTGGAAGGAGTACCCCAAAAATGACACGGTTTAATATGATATCAAAAATGTTTAAAAACACAACTGTAGCTTGTGTGCTGTAGTGTCATTGACAAGCGAATCACATCGCGTCCCTCTTCTGTGTAAAATATTGTGATATAATATCAGGCACTTATCGATTTTCTGACCCCGTAACCGGACAGCTGAACAGCGACGTGCACGACGTTCAGAGCACAAGTCAAATCCTTCTAAATGTGCTACTCTGCATTCGGAGACGCACTAGTGTTCACAGCAGGAAGTGCTGGCCACTGCAACCAAACACTTTCACTAAAAGTCATTCAGAGTACAGATATTGTTTTAAACTCACCTACACAGTTCGTATCTTATTTGGTAACAGTTTTCATAGTGCGTTAGTGTCATTACACCCAAGTACATGCACAATGCAGAAGGGACATCTTAGTTAGCTTAAATCAGAGTCGTGTGAACGCTTTATACGCTGGAATAATGCCTTTTCTTCTTCATCTTCTTACTCATCATCATTTATTACCCCCACTCAGCCTGCATCTTTCCCAGCAAGGGCCTCCATTAACTGCCGGGAGATAATGTATGTCACGCAGCTTCACTCTGCATATGGGGTGTGTAGGAGTGAAGGGCAATTACGCAGCGCCTGTTTGTTTTCCACAGCTCAGTGATGGCCATTTTATACTTTTTTTTTGTATTTCCCTTTTGTTTTAAGTTTGGCCTCAGCTCGATCTCATTTGCTTCGCTTACAGGCGGAGACCGTCATGTCGCACACATTAGTGATGTCAAAGACGGGCAGGTTCAGACCAGGAGAATCGGTCGCCACCTACTGCAACAATTACAGCGGTGGGCTGTGTGACTCAAAACGGAATACAGAGCACATGTATTGCCTCCACACGGCTCTCAACATGGCGACAGCTAAGCGAAGGCTCAGAGCTAATGGTGCTAACAACGGCAGTATTGCTGACAGAGCTAACCTGAGGGGGAACAGGAGGGTGGGCGACACGCTTCTGCAGCGACGATGCATCGGTACAGAGCGGCGGCCGTCTGCTAGCCAGTGTGGTACAACAGAGCGACTTACAACACACACAGAGGGAGATCGACTCTATTCTCTCAACTATATTTTTACATAGCAAGCAGTGTTTGCTGCTATATCAATGATCTGATTTTCGAATTCAGCCCTTTTAAGCATTTGTTAGTGATGCCCAAGGTCTTATTTCCGACCTACAACAAGTCACTGGGCTAGCATGAATCATAGTTAATGTCACTGGCTTAATGGGTCGCTTCACTTCAGTTTTGGTTTAATTTGTCAGGTTTCATGTCTCCATCCAAGCTCAGTGGATGTCATTATTTTTTGTGGCTCCCATTGTGCCAATTAAATCTGTGTGAAAACATTTGCATGGAATTTAACTTTTGACACAAGTTCTCCTGAATGGTGGAAGGTATTGTTGCACCTTCTCCTGTCTTCTGACCATTCCTCACAGGAGGCATGGTCAGAAGACAGCATCCGATGGTCCAAATGCGTCTTTTGAATAAACTGTGTGAATGTATTGTGACTGAAGTTACAAGTCAGCTGAATGTCAGTTTGCAAAGCTAGCTAGCTCTGAGAGCTTTCGTGACCGTGATTGCGATCGACTACCGGTAGCATGGCTCTCGGTGGCTAACTAGCCCTGTGAGTATGTGACCAATGGTGCACTGCCTGATTCCAGTGAGACCCGGCATCTGCTCTGGATAATTTACAGACCACACTGAGAAATATGAATTTCTTTTGGAAGAAAGCAGTTCTAAGAAACATTTCTCTAAATGTTTGGAGAAGAGTGTCAGCTAAATGCTTAAAAAGGTAGAATTACAGAAAGCAATTACAGCAATTGAAAGCAATTAACTCCTGAGGACAATTTTGCCTTTTGTTAAAAAAAGGGAGAAAAGCTCCAGCTAATCTCACACTGGCAGGTTTATTGTCTCTTTACCCATCGTTATTCTGGCTCTTTTTTGTGCTTTTATTCCTCTCTTTATGTCAGAAGCCAGGCCCTCTGTCGGTTCCTCCGGTGGCAGCGCTCTTTGGCTCTGGCAGGCAGCAGGTGGCTTGTGATGAAAAATTCAGAGCAGAGTCTGACTCTGGAGACGTGGAGGAGGAGGAGGAGGAGGAGGAGGAGGAGGATGGTGGTGGTGAGCAGGAGGAAGAGTGAGGGGAAGGGGAGGGGCGACATGAGAGGAAGGTGGGAGATGAGCAAGGAGAGGGGAGGACAAAGGTGGGGGTGTTGAGGTAGAAGAAAGAAACGTAATGAACAGAGAGACGGCGAGAACAAGAGGAGGATGGGAGCCAGAGCTCCAGACAGACAGACAGACAGACAGGCAGGCAGGCGGGCCAGTGAGTCAAGCCCAGAGCGGTGTAGGGGGGCCAGGCAGAGGATCAGAGCTGTCTACCCTCTCTGCCTGGGTCTCCTCCACGGAGATAACACACGATATGAATCATTTATGAGGGGGGCTTTTCTTTATTAATAACACGCACGCTGTGCCCCGCTTCTTTCATACATTTCATACGTGTTTTCTCTTCTCCCCGGGGAAGTACTCGAGTGAGAGAGCTCGCGATTGTTGAGGAGAAAACAGAATGCAGAGAAATGCCGTCAGCAGGGGTCGAATGTTAACTTCAGCGAAGTGAAGACTTCGCTGTGACCGATGGGACGAGTCCCCCCACGGGACACTTTCTATTTTAAAGCCACGACACGAATGCCTGATTGTGAAACATGTACCTTGTCACATGCCCACACACTAAACCCACACAGACAGTGACGCCTCCCCATGGGCTCAGAAGAACGCCCACTCACTTGCCGGTCTGCCCGGTTGATTGTCAGTACATGACGGCGCCAGATCTTGATGAATCAGAGCCCTGGACGACTGTGAACGAGCATCGGAGAAGGCACTGAGCGTCTCATGTCTGTAGGAGGGTGAGCGACTGACTGACTATAGGTCATCGGCACGGTGGGGGATTGAACACAAACACCCACATACTGAGCACACTTCACATTTGGTTACCTCTAAGACCATCGCTAAGCTATAAGACCTCTAGGTTGTTCCTCTGTCAAGGACTGCAGCGTCCACTTTTACTTGTTTCTTCAAGGTAATCCCCTTAGCTCCTGTGGCAAAAGTTCTCTGTTCAGCTCTTCATCCCTCAGTCCAACAATACTCCTCAAGAATAAAAAAGTCTTCCTTTCTCCGACCCAATTCTATTAAGCCTCGCTAACTGCGAAGGCGACGGCGGCACATCATGGCGGTACGGACCCTTTGGGGAGGCTGGGTCCTTCAGGCGCGCTGTAGGGTACCCGTCATAGCTGCTGTTACCGATGCTCTCCTGCATCAGCTTCCCTTTGGCTTCCTGCTCGCGGCGCCTCTGCTCCTGCCTCAGGAGCTCCTGGGCCTCCAGAAGGACCCGGGCGTTGACCCCGCCGCCGCCCGGGTAGCCGTTCCTGGAGCCCTGGTAGCTGGAGTACCTGGGGTTGTCCTTTGCTGTCTGGAAGACATCGCCGGGAGGGTACGCCTTGTCCCACGAGTCCTGGGAGATGGAGCTGGGGTTCTTCCTGGGTTGCCTGGTGAGGAGTCAGGAAACAGGAGAGGAAAAGGTGAGATGGACTTTGACTTTTGGTTCCAAAAAATGCTACTTGAACATGACACATCGATGATTCGTCTCACCCTAATAACCCTTGAAGAAAACCCCAAAATGTTATACATGCGAGATGTGATGCAGTTTCAAACAACTACACATAATATGCCGATACATTTCTCCATGACACACAACTTGAACCCTCTAAGTAGCATATTGGGACCTGGTCTGGTGGGAAGAATATAGCCAGCAACAATAATGTTTGTTCAAAAGCCATTACCTCCTGGGAGAGGGACTAGTGTTTGTGTTTTTGCTGAAACATGGTTATACTGTCAGTTGCATGGTAGCCAAGACATCACATTCAATGAAAATGAGGAACCATTACAGCCTCACAAACTGCCTCTGGGCAAGTACCGCCCCGCAGTAAAAACATAGCTAACCATGTCAAAGTCCCCTTCCAGCCCATTAGGCCCATTGAGAGATGGACAGAAAGAACTATTGGATGTGACGGACAGTAGCAGCAGACCTTCAGCAGGTGGACAAAAAACGAGGCGACCATCTTGTCCGCAATGGATTTAATATTGGATTGGGTATTTGACGCTTGACACTTGTCTCAAAAGGCACGGATAGTTGTCATGCTTCGGAGGGGATGCCCTGCCCTTTACCGCAAAAAACATAATCCAGATGTGTGACATCGCCTCTCATTTTTGCTTGGCTGGCCTCTTTGTGGCAGCCTCTGCTTTTGTGTGTCTGTGTGTGTGAGAGTCCATACGATATGCATGAGTGTCCCAAGCTACTACAGCTCCACCCATTTATCTCGAGGAAACGGCAAAAATGAGAGCAGAGAGAGAGAAGACGACGACACAGAAACATCAATGGGCTTTTGACTTGGAGCCATGCATAATTAGCAGGTTTATCAGCCAGCTGTGAAGAAATCGTATTATTCCCGTGTTTGGATTTGAGTAGGAAGGGGAGAAGAAAAGAAAAAAAACCTTAATGAGAATAGAAAAGACCCTTTGTTTTTATTCAGCAGAGATTGGACGCAATTGGGAATGGATACGCTTCCCGATCGGTGAGATAGGAGAACATAGCCCAGGTTTATTCCCGCTCACGGTTGAGTGATTCCAATTTTCAGAGACGGGCATCCCTGACATCTGATTTCATTTCATATGTTGACAAAGAGACCAAAGCCTGGTCCTGGCCCCCAGCTGACAAATGCAAACCAGATCACTCCCTCTGTCAGATACCGTGCCAAGGAGGGGGGCAGGGGGGGCAAAGTACATGTGTGGTAAAAACAGAATGATGTACACGGTTCTGTATTCCACGCATGCACACTTTGAAACATGACAGATGATAAAACAAAGGTTGGAAGGTGACGGAGTAAGATTGAGAGGGGAGAAAAGGGGAGACTTTGTTGAGAGGTTGCAGTGCGGTGCAAAAAGACATGGTGGGGGTGGGGGGGGGGGGGGGCCAAACGCCACTGCAGCTGTTATAGCCAGCCTTCGGTCGCCCGCGATGGCATTACTTTGGCTCGGAGATCAGTGGCGGTTGTCGGTGATGAATATGAGGAGCACTTCATCCGCCGCCCTCCTTTCAAATGGCAGCGGTTTATTTTCACTTACAGCTCCTTGTTTAGGAAAGGGTCTCGCCCAGAAGGGATCTGACCTTTATTGAGTATGAAAGCTGCTTTTTAAGGAATGCCGCGGCCATTAATCACGTCTCCATTCGCAATCCGGTCATGCTCCCATGAAGGATTCCGTCCCTCCATGAATCCCATCGAGGCCACGCCATAGTTACTCCGTCTCAGCCTCTGATTTCACACGATGGTATGCTCTAAGTCAAACAATAGCTGGTGTTCTAGAGATACCACAGCAGGGTTCTATCCAAACAGAGCAGTTTCTTAATGGAAATTAGTGGAGAAGCGAAGGGACGCGGCCACAGGATGCTGCCTCTGACCGCTGGAGCGAGACGGTAGTTCATTAATCTTTCAGCGAAGCTGCCTGCAATATTTATCAAGGAAGGGATTTATGTCGATAACAGTGGATTAGGGTACGTTGGTGAGGTAATAGAAGATATTGTCTTTAATGTTGTATTTGTATGGTAAGTGCAAGCTGATGATGTGCACCTGGACGGCTCGGCCTGCTTTGACCTCACAGGGCCGTCTGATAGTTGGAGAGAGTGATTACAGACGCTTTTAGGGAAGAATAATAACTCTGAATAACATTTCCTCCTGGACGCTTCCCGCCTGATTCAAGAAAACCCAAAAAGAGGCCAACTCAGCTGCCCGTCTGCTCCCCCACACCAGAGATCACATCACCCCAGACCTTCAAAACCTCCCCCGATTCTGAACTTCATAAGACTTCCTACGTAGAATAGAAGAGCCGAGGGATTCTGGTTGTGTTCCGGTATAAATACACTTGACCTGACGTTACTCATACTGCAGCTTTATCATTCCTGAGAGAACATCTAAAATTGCTTCACAAATGGCAACCAATGTTTGATGAGACCCTGTGACACACGAGCAAACAGTCGAGGGCCCAATCCCGGTGTGCCCTCTGAGGCCTTAAGGCCCCTCAGGGGCCTCACTGACGTCACCTGCTAAGTGCTTGAGTGGGAGATGCTGCAAGGGCTCAACATGGTGTAAATAGGAAATGAGCAGCACTTTGCGGCGACATATCATGTTACCTTGATGACGCAAAAATCATGTGATATAAAATTGTAGGTTTAGGGCTTTTTTTATTTTACTTTCTTCATGGAAATGAAGGAACTGCCTGTGAAAGTCTGATTTGAATGGATCTTGCGATACAGAGTGGATAAGCGATAACTGACAAATAATACATTTACTTGTTTTTGTCAGAGCAGCAACATTAAGCAGAATTCAAAGAAGTGTTTGATGCATAAACCAGGTGTCTGCTTTGATTGATTTGAGTTAATCTAGTACACCAGCTGACCAACGTGCCAGTCCTCCTGTTTGATGCTTTTGGGCTTCCCCTGGTTAACCCGTGATTTAACGTCACAGCAGGACATTTCCCTCAGACTGCGAACTGTGTGCGCACAAAGGACTCAAAATGTCAGAGAGAGCCTTCAAGCATTTTTTCGACTGGACAGTGTGAAAACCCCTCAGACCTCGTGGACTTTGGGACTGAAGGTCCATGAGGGCTGGGTCATGGTGACGGTCCCTGTCAATTTTGGAAGACATCTTGTTTGACAGTTCACAATAAAATGGTATTTTCCCCTACAATGGATGAAAAAAGTAACACACACACACACACACACACACACACACACACACACACACACACA